ACAAGGGTGGTGATATCTTCATTCTTCTGCCTGCTTCCTGAATAACAGCCCCTGAAGTGCTTTAAGAACCGTTATATTACCATTGTTTTACTACAAAATTTCCAGTGTATTAGACAAACAGCAGTGGTTATCTCAAGTGGTTGAACAGTATCATAAAATAGGAGATAATCAGAGTCTATGGTTACATTGCACCCCAGAAGATTTAGTCTTTCGCTCCAGTTGTTAGAGACCTTAGGCTGCTCTTCACAGCCATTCTCATATTTTGAATTTATCTTCTCAGGATTAAGGAACCAGATCTGCTTGTTGATACCTGGAGAAACTTCTATCACTGAAATCTCGGATTGATTTTTACACATTACTGAATAAAACATAATAAACCCATAACAAAGGCCTGAGTTTAAAGTCTAGTAAAAACAATGCATTTATAGCTGAAGATATTTGTATAAAGATTTCAAATATCTTTTAACAATTATGCAGTCACAGAAAGAGTTCAACTGTTCTGCTGATTCATGGATGAAATTAAGAACTAAAGTGTTATTTTAATTTTAGAATAAGCCCAAAGACCAAAGGGAAGAAAAAGGCAAAAAATCCTCAATATGCAAAAAAAGAAAAAGAAAGAAAGAAAGAAAAAGCTAAAGCAAAAGACTTCATGATTGCATAGAAAATAAAAAAAAAATCTCTTCAATACTAACTGAACATTTCATGAGCAGTTTTCTAAACCTAAGAGGCTAATTAGTTAGTGTGAAAAGAACTATTTAAAAGCCCACAAGTTGTTTTTTTGTGATTTTTTAATTTTCTAAATTAAATTTATTTTTTCTTACATACAATTTTTGAAGCAATTATCTTTTCAAGTTCCATACTGACACTGGTAATATTCTTGATTTTTAATTAGGTTAAATTAGAACCTTTATCTGGCCTGCACACGCTCATTATGTCTCCACTGGTCATTAAAGCAGAAACAGCACAAAGTCTGAAGTAGTGAACTACTTCTGAAGTACGGCAGTTTAAAATTAAAGTTTGAAGAAGCACAATAAATTGTAGTTTTATAGTGATAGTTATGTTCTGCATGTTGATAGACCTGGAAGAAAAGGCAGTAAGTGTAGTATGTTCATATTTTGCCCAAACAGATTTTTTAATCTTGTTGAGTGCAGCTAGTATTTGGTCATGGTTCCAGATCATCTGTTTCCACTGTGCACCCATAACCTCCAAGTGGAAGACTTTGAGTCTGATGGAAGGATCCCAGACATAGGAGTCCTCAGCACAAGAGAGCTGTGAAGCTCTTAGAGTGAGCCCAGAGCATGACCATGAAAATGATCCAAGCACTGGAGCACCTCTCCTATGAAGACAGGCTGACAGAAGTAAGAATGTTCAGCCTGGGAAAGAGAAGGATCCAAGGATACCCTAGAGCAACCTTTCAGCAGCTAAAGGAGGCTTATAAAAAAGAGGGAGGCCTTTTTACATAGGTGGGTATTAATAGGACAAGGGAGAATTTATCTGAACTGAAAGAGGGCTGGTTTAGATTAGGTATTAGGAGGAAATGCTTTACTGTGAGGATGGTGAGGCACTGGAACCATTTGCCCAGAGAAGTTTTCCCATCTCTGGAAATGTTTAAGGCCCGATTGGAAGGAGCTTTTAGCAACCTGGTGGAAGGTGTCCTTTCTCATGGAAAGGGCCTTGGAACTTGATGATCTTTCAGGTCCCTTCCAACCCAACCCAATAACCCAATTCTATGATGATTCAGGAACTTAATCCAGTCTCCTTCCTTAGTAGATGCCAGAACTGATGTCTACAATTGTCCAGGACCAAGAATGAAGTGGTTTGTTTTTCTTACATGATGGCAGTTGAAATTATGCTGTTTTAAAATTCTTACCAAATTTTGTTTGACTTAGACATATCTAGTGCCATTTTATTGATGTGATTTGTGATTTGGAGAAAACCACAGGGTCTAAAAATGTAGAGGTGGTGATGAGCATTCTGTAGGATAACTGCTAACTTCAAAGGGAGGAACACCTAGCGGAGCCAGATATTCAGAGTGGGATTACATTACTTCAGTCTTGCTCATGCTTTCCATTGTTCCATCCAGTGGAAACTATCCTTCAAAATCATAATTTGGGTTTTAAGGCATGACTGAACTGGATTTGGCGAGAGGAACTACAGTCTTAAATCCAAAAAGCAATTGTATCTCTTACATTCATGAGAACTTTGAGTCAGATAATCTAACTATAGTAAGACCTTAAGATAAGCATCAGGACACCCAGGGTTAGGTGAGAGGGTCTTCTAAGAGCTTCTCTCGAGAGAAGCTATCATCTGTTAAATACAGATGGAGCAACTACCAGCTACTGGCTTGAGCAAAAGCATTGCAAGGAGTACCACATTTTTCTGCCTAAACAAATGAGCATGACAGTTATTCTGTCAAAAGTCCAAATTTATAGCAGACACATACACACCTCTCTGAGTGTCTGTGTGTATATGTGTTACGTTAAAATACACTGTTCCACCTTCCATTCTTGCTTAGGTACTTTAATCTTAGTAGTACCTACTTCAAAAAATCCTAGGAGTTATTCTAGTTCTCACCTTCCCTTGCCCCAAATTACATGGCTATTAAAAAATTGTAAGGCTCTCAATAAAACTTTGCCTATGACTTGACTCATAAAACTTGGTGATTCAGTAGAGCTAAAACATAAACCATGTGCTACTATGTCAGGAGTGCCAGGGATTTACAAAGCATTGGATGTCCCCAAGGTGAATACAAACTTTTTAGTTCTGAAGTATGTACAAAATATGTATGTAAATTAGAACTCAAGACAAATTTAATTTTGCAGTTTGTTTCCATTTACAAAGGTATTTTATAGACTATCCTAGTTCACTCTGACAAAACCATCTTTATTTGAAACTCCATACACATCCTTATTTCTAAAAGCAAACCTGTATTAAAACACTCATAAGACAGAGCAAGTGCATTTCAAGACCCTGAAGATGTACCTTAGTATATTCAAGTAATATAAGTTAAAATAAAATGTCCTAAATGTAGTAATTCAGTATTCTAATTGGACCTTGTGGTAGGGTGATATGTTGTAGTGAAGAAAGATGCATTACATTTTTGTTTTAGCATTTCCCCATCTTTTCACTAATATACAAGAAAATGTGAAAGGAAGATTAAGATCATCACATTCACATTCTGTCACCTATTCTTCAGAGAACATATCAACTGAACATTTTACTTCTAGTCATTAGAGCTACAGGAGTAAATTAAGGCCTGAGTGTCTGAATCCCATTTGCTCCTTTCAATGCATCTCCCATGAGTGACAGTGGGAGATTCAGAGCAGAAGGGATGTCCTAATATTCTGTTTCCTGGTAGCTACAAATATCAGTGGGTTACAATTAGAATGATTTGGAGAAGCATTTCAACATACCAAAAATACATTTAGGACTAGACTCAGTTGTTTTACATTTTAGTTCTTCACTGTGCTAGGCAATTTGGCACTCCATTTTTCCCTTTTAAGCTTTAGTCCTGCTATGTTATGCTGCTCATCTATTGACGTGATTTTTTTAAAATATATTCCTGTTAGGTTTCTACAATAACACTGAAATATTTTCATGGCAATATTCACAGACTTTTGAGTTAGAGGCTGTATCATGAACTGCAGGAATTAGCATTGTTCCTCAAAGTAAATGAAACTCCACTAATACCAGATTTGCCTCAAATCACTCTTGGATCAAGGTTCAGATTTTCTGTTTGTGAAAAATTCAAGCATTTGATGAAGTTTCACTTGTCTGCAAACAGACATCTGGCTTTTTTTCCCCCTGGAAAAAAGGGATAGGGGCTAATAGACAAAGGCTTTTGTTTGTTTGCTACAGAACAGCTGCTCTTAATCTACCTTGGACTCACACTGGTATTGCAGTATCAAGGAGGATGTAAGCAGACAAGAGGACAGTGAGACACTGCAGGGCAGATTTTCAACACTGGTAGTGTTGGATTCAGAGGCAATATCAATGTAGTTTACTGCAGTCATTTATTACATTGTCCTTTAGCTCCAAATGTGCAGAATAGTTTACTACTGAGCCTTCATAATTGCATTGGAGGGGATATCTGGGACTCCTGGAAATACTGGCAGTAGGGATAGTTTTCATGAGAACTAGTATGTGAGGCTCTTAAAATTCCAAAAGGCATTTTGTTATTTTTCACAGTTACTTGTTTATTCATGACTGTCCAGGTCCAAAGGGTAAAGACACAGGCTCTGTCAGCACTAAATCCTTTGTCACTTGTGTCTGATGACTGGCCTGTGTCACAAAAAGCCAGCTAGCTGACACTGCTGCACCCATCTCTCATTTGACTCCCCTGTGTGCCCTCCTTGCCCTCCTTATTCATCACAGATCTAGAGCTGAAAGGATAAAAATTGAGAGGAAGCCAGTATTTCCTCACACTTAATCTGTGTGTCCAGAGACAGTATGCACTCTGGCCATGCTCTTAATCTCTACATGCCCTGAACAGATAAAGCTTTCTAGGGAAGCTTCTGTTGACACCAAGGAGAAAATAAAACTCCCTTGGTTGCTTCCTTGGAAGACTTCAACTTCCTAGCCTGAATGTGGACATGAAGTGCAAGAACAAATCCTGACAATTTCCTCCTGTAGGAGGAGATTAAAATCTGATTAAAAGAGGGACAGAATTTTAAAGCTTCTTTCCATCAATCTGAGGCATCAAGAAACCTATGAAGACAACCTCCCATTCAGCTGCTGTTGGGCTGTTTGCAGGCAACATTCTGGCTTTTCCTGACCAGGCCCAGTACAGACATGACACTTGCTGCTCTAAGGATTGAAGGGTTCTTGAAAAAGGAAAGGTCACTGAAAGCTTCACATATTGCTGCAATTTTTCTGTAGACTCTTAGTTACTCATTTCTTGCTCTTCTAACTAGTAGTGCAGAGAAGTGGAACTTTCATATTTCGCTTTGCTGACTCCTTCAACTGCCCATTAAACAAACCTAGACTAAAGTATCACCTTCAGTACAGACAGTTCTGCGTAGGATAATCCAGCCTACCTGTAAGATCTACTTAGCTCTGTGACAACTTGTGACATTTAGGCTTTGCCAGAAAAGAAAAAAGAAAGTCAAGAGTAATAGAAGATTGGAGTGCTGCTGACAAGACATCTGTGGAAGCTGGCACAAACTGGCATTAAATCAAGAGATAACGTCTTTACTTCAGTTATCTTCACTGACCTGGTAAAATACAAGATTTTTCTGAATTTCCAAGGTAAAGAATGAGGTAATACTCTTTTACCCACCATTTTCTTTAAAGGGGGGATTTTGATGGTGGATGTGTTACTGCAAAAATGTAAAGTGCCCATAGTTCAAGGATTCTGGTTTTAGGCATTCTGCGATGTGTTTAGGAAACTGAATTGAAAAACTGTCTTTGTAAAACATAACTATAATTCATGACATGTATGTCTGGAAGTCCAGTAGCCTCTTAGTATAACTCATTAGTAAAAATCCTGTTCATCTGCGTTTAACAAAACAAGGACAGTACAAAAGGAAAAGACAGATCCATGAAGCAGAAATTCACAGAGTGTTGAGATGCAAAGGGAAAGGCTCTGACAAATTTTACTGTAGCCATTAAGGTTAATGTCTTGGGAAAGTCTTCCTATGTGTAGATGTGCACCAAAACCTGGAAATCTCTTGAGTGAAATTTATAGTTGCAAATTGCTTGCAAATTAGATTTCACTGGAATATCAAGCAGCCCTCCCCTCTTATTTTAATTCCTCCAAGAAATGCGATAGCCCGCATAAGGAATATACAAATATTTTTGATATATGTCTATACATACATGCATAATTCATATGTTGCATAAAAAAGTACTTTAAACTGCAGTGCATTCAAAAGTGAATACATTTTAGCAATGGATGCACAAACAGCCTTTATTCTGTATTTGTACTTGCTCATTATATAGGACTCTTCAAATATTAAAGTAGTATTTAATCTACTGTTCTTCTTAGGTGGCTAGCAGATAATATTCCCATCATTAAACGGTTTATTTTTTAAACCTGTTGCTAATCTGTTCAAAAGACTGCTCAAAAGCTGCATGTCTGGGGTAGAAACCCCTTGACTAATAACTATAATTAAGTAATGAAGATAATGCCACTATATCTAGTGATTTGGCAGGTAAGGGAATACATGAAGAAACAGAATATATAAGGATGAGCCAGTCTAGAAGATATGCATCCTGTAGTCTTCAGGGTATTCACTAATAAAATTACTGTATGACTTGTAATTATATTTTGTAAGTTAAAGGAGAGCCAGAATTATATCTAAGGGATTGGAAATGAAAAGATAGACTGATTAATTTTTTGTTATATATAAAGAAATAGTAGTAATTACAATTTGCTAAACATACCTTGAACTATCATAAATTTAATTAAGATAATAAATAAGAACATCTATAAGTATCTACTCCATTGAGGACTACTAACATTTCAAAGGATGCAGATGCAAAGGCAAAATGGCACCTTAATGTTTTAGGTCAGAATTTCATTAGATTATTAGATACAACTATAAAACCTGATGGGACTTGAGGAGTTATGGAAAGAGGAGAAATTCCACAGTCAACCTCAATATGAGTTTGAGATCAGAGACTCACAGAATATTCTGAGTTGGAAGGGACCTACAAGGATTAAGTCCAACTCTTAAGTAAATATCTCATATGGGGATTGAACCTACAACCTTGCTGTTATTAGCACCATACTCTAACAAGCTGAGCCTAGTTAAATACAGAGAAACCCTTCATTTATAAAAAAGGAGAAGAAAAATAAAAAACATTTTATTCCAAATTTGACAGAAATTTTCATGAAAACTTTCCAGTTAGCTTGAAAAAGCATGAGTAGAATTCTATATGAATTTGAAATCAACAACAAAAGACCCATGAACTCCTGTGAGAAGCAGGCAATATTTTGTACCATTTTATTCAACCTAAAGTTTTTACACTGCATTTTTTACTGTGGTCTCTGAGTATTTTGCAGGGCATTAGGGTGATGACTGACATCTATCTGCCACTCAGCTGCTCCCTTGGGGCAGAAGTGAAGGTGTACTGGGTGGTATGCTTTTCTCCAGAGGTGGAATGGACAGATCCCAACAGGTTGCTGCAGTGCAAGTATGTGAAAACTGCAGTGGATGTGGATGCAGGAGGTGAAGTACATCTGGAATCAGACACATGTGGTCTGTGGCTACCACACGGATTTGGCCACTGAAAGGAGCTCTGTAATGATGCCAGTGTGGAGAGGCTGCCAGGATGAAGGTTTAAGGCCACGTCTGTACATCTCCTCACCAGCCTGGCTGTATGGCTCTTACACCAATGTCTGAGCAGTGCTACCAATGAGGAGCTGCAGGGTAAGAGCATTTTCAATGACATTTCACTTTCATGGCATTATACTGCCAGTCTTTCATCTGCTGAGTTATCTGACCTATATTTCATCCTGTCCAAAGTAGCCTAATTTCTAAGACTCTTTCTCTTTGTACATTTTTAATTCAGAAGAGTAGCTTGTTCTGATTATCGCGCAGGACCTCTGAGTTTTACCAGAGGTGGTAAAACTACCTTTATTTATCTTGCTCAGCAAACAGTCCTTTAAGAGTAATTATTGACAAATTAAAGAAGTCAAGTTAAATGCTGCAGGGATACAAAGGGATCACACAGAATGTCTTAAACAGAAATATACTGTTAGAAACAAAATGTCATCAGACTGGTAAATTGAAAAATGTAAAACATGTGTTAGATAACCCATTTACCATTTGATCTACTATCATAATTCTTAAAGAAAAAAAAACCTGAAACAAAACAACAAACCCAAAATGCTGCTGTAGCTGGTCACTGGTGGAATACAGAAGATAGAATGTCACTAATCATATGATACAAAATTATGGAAATAAAAAAGTAAAATAAAATGGCTATTTCTTAATTTGAGTCTAATGGTATCCAAATGACAATGTCTGAAATTACATATTTCTAATTAATATTGAGTTTAAATAGTGTACTTAGAGATTATATTGCTAACTCTAGGGAGCACCTAAATAACAGATCAGTCATCTGCTATTTTATTTGAAGAGTACTGATTATAAATCTGATGTAGTATTTCCTCAAACACTGTTCTTCCTTGATCTGAAAACAAAGAAAACAGACATGATTTTTTCCAGTGTAACAGGCAACATTTCATAAAAGAATTTAAGGCTGAACAATCAACAAAGTCCCATTACAAATGCAAGAAAATTAAACACCGTCATATTTTGTTCTTACAGTTATGAAAACATTCAGCTCATGTGTCATGCACTCCCTACAGGAAAAAACAAGTTCAGCATTATGTAGACAACAGCAATGTCCTTACCTGGGGGAAAGCTAGGGAAAGTCACACCATGAAAATTTTCAGTGTAAAGGAGCTACTGAAGTTGTCTCCTCCCCTCTAGTCATACACTGTATTTTAAAAGCCAACATTTAAAAACTGGCAGCTAGAGTTAAATCTTAGTTACTATATTAGAATAATTCATAACTTCAGTATCAAAGCTATAACACAGTCTTTTGACTACTCCTAAATATTGATATTTTAGTTGTGAAATAAGGTCTGGGTTTCTTTGGATAGCTCTTCAAATTACACAAATTTCTATTCATTATAAATACACATAATGGCAACAGTCTCAGAATTAAAACAGCATCAAAGGAACACCACAGTTAGGATTTTAATTTAAAATCTTTAACTTCCTTCTATAAACAGCAAAATGTTACATGCTAAGACTTAAAAATAATAAAATAAATTTTTTGTTACTATAGGTCATTGATACTATTACCAAGCAAGATATTTACATCAATTCTCTTGAAATTTTCCCATATACTGACCAGCAGAAGTCTCTTTGCTTCCCTAGGAATTTCCATATTCACACTTGCTTTAAACTCTTCAATATTTTCTCTGAAACGATTCAATTGTGTTTTTTAAAAATCTGAATCTATAATACTTTTGCACAAAATTAAAGAGCCCCCACTGGTGTATTCTGAATGCTGGGGAACTCAGAACTGTTAGCAGTGATGATCCATACCAAAACTTCATCTGTAACACTGGGACATGCCAATTCCTTCCTAAGCATGATATTCATATCCCTTTCTAAATTCTCATGTGAACAGGGTCTCCCTATTCATTTTGAAGGGATGCTTTGTATAATGTAAGCATGAACATATATGAGGAAACTGCATAAAAACATCAAGTATCATACTTATAGTTTCTGCAGGTGCTAGCCATAATATGCACGAAATGAAACAAATATTCACAGGGCCAGATGGCAGAATGGCAGGGCCAGAGCACAGCTAAGCCTCATGGACCAGCAGATGGACTGACAGCGGATATGTGCATCTTTTATCCAAGGCCATAGGGAAGAAGGGCAGAAGGGCAGGGCCATCACCCCAAGGACCCATGTCTACAGTTGTGTGGGGAAGGAGAATGCTGAGCTCCCAAGGTGAAAGTCAGTGGAAAGGACAGCTTGGAAAATGTGAGGAAGTGAACTGGATATTTGGTCTTAGTAAGTCCATAGAAGTAGGGCACTGGGTGGATTCCTTTGTAAATAAACTGAATTTATCTAAAGAAAGATCTTATTGTAAAAACAAATTCCCCCTACCAGCAGACTAATTGGGCACAGCTCTGAATACTGGCTAAACACTTGCGTCAAAAAACAACAAGATAAAGCTTTGAGCATAGTAGAAAAGTTACTAAAAGAATCTTTTCAAGCCTATTCTGGAACATTACACAACTTATTTCTTCTTCAGCCTTATCCCCATTGCTCTCTGTCACTGTTCTCAGAGGTTCTTTCTTACTACCAGTATTGAAAAGCATAAACACTAGAAATAGTCTGCCTTTCTGCAGCAGATTTCTTTCATGCCTCTTCAGGTTTCAAAGCAAAGTCCAAATACAGATGATGTGGGAAATCACTTCTACCAAATGGGAAATTGATGGCAAATAAATCAGTGGAGGCATAAAAAGAAAGATTATCTCTCACTGAACTTTATTTATCTTTGCTTCCGTGTGGAGGCATATACCAGTCCTCACTTTAAAGGAGAGGCACTCAAAAGCCTGTGTTGGCACAGAAGGGTGAAGAATCAGGAGAGATTCCAGCTAAGAAGTGGCTGGACTCACTATCAACTTGCTTCCTCCAGCTCACAAACCCCAGAATTGTCCCTCCGTATCTAATGTCATTATGCAAAAGCAAAAGAATTTCTTCTGTAACACCCCAATACACAATTAGGCTGGGGAACTTAGAAGATGCTAGGTACATAAATGCACATATGCCTTTTTGATAAAGTCTTGAAGAAATATTATTATTAAATAAGCCTATGTGTCCTTGTGCTTTATGTCAAAACTAAGCAGACTATCATATAACAGTCAAAAAGAGTGCAACAGCACACATAGGGATTTAAAAGGAACTAAAGATCTCCCACATACAGGTGTGAACACTAAGCAACTTCACCAAGTGCAGTGACATTAATCTGTTTAATTTAGGCAGTTTATGTCTTTTAGTGTTTAAATCTATAGATTAATTTTGAGACATTGTATAAAACTTCATTTGTAATGAATGTTGTTCATTTGACTACATGAAAATACATTTCCTTAAAGAATAGCTTCCTCTTATTCAGAATCACATATTTTGAGTTTGGGGCCATAGATAAATAACAGAAACTAAATGAAAGTAACATTTGCCCTGTGAGTGATTTTCTTTTCCCTCTTGCTGGAAACATTTCCTCCCTCCCTGCTAGTAACCATCAATCTTTCTCTGTACTGCTCTGTTAACTTTAATAAGAAGTACGGCACAGTAGCCAGTGCTGGCTTTCACTTACTGGTAGCTGAATGTTAAGCAGCATTGCAAAATGTTAAGTTGCAAGATAACTGAATAGTTTTCTTAAGTCTTTGTATTGGGTTTCCATGGTAAAGTTTTGGAAGTGGGAAGGCTATAGGGTTGGCTTCTATGAGAAGCTGTACGAAAATTCCTCTATGTCCAATGGAGGTGATGCCAAGCAGCTACAAGATGGACCTGCAACTGGCTAAGGCCAAGGCCATCAGTAACAGCGGCAGCACCTCTGGGGTAATGGATTTAAGAAGGGGGAAAAACCTGTACAGCTATGGATGGAGCCTGAAGGAGACTGTGACCCTGTGAGACACTTATGCTGGAGCAGCCTTCTGACAGGACTTGTGTCCTCGGGAGGAACCCACACTGGACCAGCATGTTCCTGAAGAACTGCATGCCATGGAAAGGACCCACACTGGAGGCTGTGGGAAAGACCCACTTTGGAGAAGTTCATGGAGGACTGTGTGCCATGGGAGCAACCCTACACTGGCACAGAGAAAGTGAGGAGTCCTTCTCTGAGGAAAAAACACCAGCAGACACAATCTGTAGTGAACTGACTGCAGCTTCCATTCCTTGGGGGAGACTGAGAATTAACAATACTTCTCACCTCCCTCTAGACACTCCAATAGGAAAATACTAATTTACTAGCAACCTCACCACAGCTGCCTTGCTTTCCATTTTCTCTGTTTCAGACAGGAACATATACACTGACACCATGCATCATTGATGGAAAAGTATTTGGGATTTCTTTCAGCAAAGATTCTGCTCATGAAACGTCAACCAAGAGAGGGAGAGAACTTGCATTCTTTAGGGCATGAAACCCATGTAACAGAATTTCATAGCTTTTTAATATGATTTTGTTAGTAATGTTCCAGTGCTTTGTGGCTAAGTTCCTAATCATACATATCTATATCCTGACTTCTGAAAAACAAAATACTACTTTAGTTCTTTTAACATTGTCAGCAGCAATGTGTAATGAGACAATGTCTTTATACTGTTGGACTAAATTTCTCACAGAGGCTCTAGTCCACTGTCATCCATACTGCCTATGTGTTGATCAGTCTGCAAGGAAAAGTTTGGAGGCAGGCAGATGGTTTCAAAGCAACGGCAAGTGATCACAGCTGACAAGATTCCAGTTGGGATTCCAGTTTACCCATGTACTCTGCCGCCTCCTTGCTCCATGCCTCCAAGCACAAGGCACCATAACTGTGCCCAATGCTGTGACATACAGCGCTGCAGTGAGCAGCTCTCACCTACTCCCTTCTGCTGTAACAGCAGCAAAGGTGGTGAGGATGAGCATTGCTTTCCCATTGGTTTGGTTGCACTAATCTGTCCCAGGCCTGATACACATGGATCAGGAAACCATGAAATAGAAAATTCACTTAGAAATACAGAAAATTCACTTAGAAATAAAAACTCAGAGTGGAATATCCTTGTTCCCCCAAAACAAGTCTTCAGTCTTGAGTAGCTCACTACATTTACCCTCGCTACTTAGCTGGTCTTGATCCTTTACAAAGTGTCTATGACCAAATCAGATCATCCATCCTGTCTATATTCGTTTCCAAGACACAGAAGAAGTTTGTTCCAAGCCCAGTCTGTAGCCATGGCAGTGACACTTTTCCTCCAGTTCAGCATAAGTCAAAGCTAAGCAGCCTGACCTAGCCAGGCTAGGCATTATGGCATTACTGTGCAAGTGAGCTGCTGCTGGAATGCTTGTTGTTAGTGAGGGGAGCAAGGCTGAAGGGCAGACAATGCCATCTTTAGAGAGAGGACATGCTCATGCTCTGAAAACACCTGCTTATGGAGGGTATACTGACAGCCAGTGGCCAGGGCTGAGTGCCTGGGATTAGGAAGACTCTCCAAAGACTACCCCTCTCCCAGTCTCTCTTCACATGTGCATTTTTGCTGTTCTCCCCTCATCCACTCAGCAGTAAAGCAAGCACTGTGAAGGGGTTCTGCTCTACTAGTCACACTTGCAGCTCCTCAGACCTGTACTGCAAATCTAGTCCTCATCTATCAGCCATGTAAATAGGCAAATTTCAAGCCTAGTTAGTTGCAGGCTGTGGTTAACGGCCTGTAGTAGTTATAACACTCCAGACTAGATCACATTTTTGTCCAGTGTGGGTAAATGTGGCATTAAGCAGCGGTACCATAATCAGAATACACCACCATTTCACTAACCACAAATGTCCATTTTGCTTTCCAAGGACTCATGAAGGAGCCATGGGTTCTCTAACCACATCTCTAGATGTAGGTCAAGCATTAAAACAGACAGACAGACAGTAGGGTAGTACCATTTAGCATGGTGCCTTCAGGGAGACAGCTGGGTCTGCCAGGAAAGCAGGTGTTGCAGCCTGGGGCCAGAGATCTTTTCCAGGCAATTCCCCTGGATCAAGGCCTGCAGAGAAATGAGCCCAGCCTCGAGAAAGGAATGTGAGTAGTGACCTGGCAGGAGCCTGACTTCTAATGTAGAGTCTGCCCTCTTCTCTTTTCCAACATATTGGGGGGCTGAGGAAAGTGAAGATTTTTTCCTGGGAGCCTTTGTGGCTTTAAGTACATGCCCCACATTAAAAATGGGACACAAAAAATATGAACATCAGCAGTAAGTTTCTCTGCCTGATTTTTGCCCATTGCTGTTAACTGCCCATAATCAGAGATGATATGTTACAGCATGTCCACAGGTTCTGCAGCATCCAGCTGCCACAGCCATGCAGCAGTCTCTGTCACAGAGAGCATGCAAACCCACAGGATGGGAAGGAAGGCAGCATTTGGACATGTTAAAATCTGAAAGAGCAACAGGACATACTAAGCAAATGTTCTGGAAAACATGGGCCTAATTTCCAGAGGGAATATTTAAAAATATTTCCAGGTCAAGATGGACAGAGAAGGATAATGAGATTTTTGCCTTTGGGGTACAGGTACCTCAAAAAGAAAAGTAACAAGCAGCACTTCCTGTGGATAGGGCTATTCCCTGAAGAGGGACAGATGCATCTTCTCTGTGATGTAAAAGACAGAGGTTTTTCTTTTGCTGCTTTATAGCAGAGTTGCCATTGAGCAACACAATTGTTTTGCTGAATTGAAAATATCTGCTCTTTGGTTTTGCATGGGAGTCAGTTCCAGGCAGAAGGAGAGGATGCTTTCCTCTTCTTGAGGTTTTGTGCACATTGTGGGCAATGTTAGATGTGGCAGGGCAAGTGATCTCACTGATGCATTTTGGTTTCCCTATTTTAAAACTGCAAAGAACAGATGAGTCCATCCTTGACTGGAAATTTTGGCCAGATATTTCTTAAACTATGTTTTCAGAACTGTAAAATATGTTAGGACTGTTCCAAAACCAAATTACTTTTGTGCCTGTCTCATTGATCTAAATGGCCAATAAAGTTGTGGCAATAGCTAAAGAAAAAGATACAGGTGCTGACATTTATCGGCAGAGAGGAAAACATTCTTTATGAGTTTAATGGTATGCATTTGGTTCTGCTGTTTGTGCACTCAGAAACAAATCAAAAAAGCAAATACATGATGATGATTGTTCTTGAGGTAGAGATATGGGCAGTCAAGTGCATGGTCATAGCAGTGGCTGGCAATGCCTCATTACCCAGTCGAGTTCCACCCAGGGATGGCTCTCCAGAGCTGCTGACTGTGTAGAGAAGGCATAAGCAGGTTATCAGGTAGCATAACCTGCATTTATTCAATTTGATATTGAGGAAAAGGTAAGTATTGGTGAGTTGGGAGCCGGTGTCTTGTGGCCTTTCAGTCACAGGTCTCATGGGACTTGCTGGCAGCTGTGGGAGCACTAGGCAGCATGGTCATGCAGATGCCTAACGGTCCAGTGAGAGCTGAAATTATATATTGATCATATTTCACAAGTTACACTTCAATCTGATTATTACATTTAAAATGCCTACTTTACATATATTGGACTGCTAGATAACTGAAGCCAAACAACTTTTAACCAACAACAGAATAATTTTAAGAATGCAATAAGAAAAAAATCAAATTACAGCAGGGCTTCTGCTGTGCCTGTTATTCAATTTCTCACTGAGCATGATCAGCTCTTCCTCTCCTGGTGAAGACCTGCCCTTTGCTCTGTGAACAGAAGAAGGGTTGGTGGGGCAAATTGTTTCTGGTGACAACTTCTTTAGTTCACCAAAGATAGTCAGATTCAGAAATCTTCTAATTATATAAATGGTGACTTGGAGTACTGGTAGTCCTTCCAGTGTTAGAGAGGGTGTCAGTGTCACCACCTCTTGCCAATTCCCTGCATTACACAGTGCATGTAGATGAAGGCAGCAAAGCATTTCCTTTACCTCAAGCTATGAAATAATTGGAAGTATGACAATTTAAATCCCTTGGTGCTGGACGGAGGGGTAAAGGCAGTGGAAGGGCTAAAGGTGGGGAAGAGGTGGATAAGAGACAGGCAGCCTCTTCTCAGTCTCAAAACTCATTCAGTTGTAAATCAGATGACCTTTGTGTTACTTTTCAATTTACTTTTCATGGAGAGATTCAGAAAACCCAGTAGCCTAAAGCAAAAACTTAACAAATCCGGCTGCAAGTCAAGGCTTGCTTATTATGACCTTTACTCATGAAGACTGTCTTCACTTTCTGAAATGATTTTCTTTTCCCAGTTGTCAGAGACTGAAATGTTATGGTTCATGGCTGAAACATTGTTATGAAGGATCTTTTCCCCATGATGACAAAACTGTATAAAGAAGGTGTGATCACCAAAGCCCTCCCCTCCCCTAAGATGCATCCTAAGGGGAACTTTGGACTGTGAGCTAAGCCACCTAAGGTGACTTGAGATTAGATAAAGGTGACACTATTGTTCAGTCATCTCAAAAAGCAAACAAGGCTTAGGGAGAAGAATGCATCGATAAGAAAGCCAAACCCAGCAGCTGTCCCGAAAATCATCCCTGTCTGGGTTCCATGGCGTGGAGGAAGACATAGCCCTCAGGCTCTCTGTTGAGGACAGGTTTGCACAGAGTCCCTCTCCCCTCCCCTCACCCCAGGAAGGCCATATCCATGGGACTTGCATGTGAGGAGCAGCTGAGGGGGTGTCATAGCCCATCAAAGACCTCCCAAAGTGCTCCCCAGACTTATTCCCAAGGCTACTACAGCACTGCACATGATGTAAAGCAATTCAACAGATCCTAAGTCTGTTACAAGACCCAGTGTCAAAATTACCTGCCCTCCTCCAGAGTGGTCCCTGGGCATTTCCCACCTGGCTTAAATGTATATTAGTCCTTCAGACTCTATGTTTTTGGGGGAACCCTCACCACCAGGAAGATTGGATGGAGAGGATCAATAGGACATTGTTGGGAGTGGTGATATTTTCTACTTTATCTGTCTCTTTCACTCTCTTTCTGTCCCCCCCACTCTCTTTCTGTCTTTTCTCTTTCTTTCTCTATTTCTCTCTCTTTCATTTCCTTTTAAATAAAATCCTTACTATTGACTTTGGAATATGGTTTTGTTTGCACCTCAATTTGAGTAGAGACATTTCTAATAATTTAAAGAACTGGATCATAACACCCATACAGTATGTATTTTCCAACAAGTGGAGAAAATGCAAAACTTGTCACAAAAAGCATAAAATTAATGAACAGTAATTGAAAGGATGCAGTTTACAATAGGCTGCATTTTGGTGCCTGAGCTTGACAGGAAAATTTACTTCTGTTAAGTAGTAGCTTCTGGTTCATGAAACAGTCTTTGATTATATAATTTTCTGTACTTAAGTGAGATTCAAGTTATAGAGGGCAGTATGGTATAAAATGGGACAGGCGTTGTACCTGGAACCCTTTGTTGTAAATGCCGTGAATGGGATGATGCAAAAAGAAGGTAAACACAGAAATTGTTAGAAAGGTTTCATAAGGGAAAACTCAGAGTGATAGGATGAAAAGGGAGGTCAGCTGCAGATGGATGCAGAGCTGGCTGCATTTAGTCTGTGCCAGGGGGAAGACAAGGCTCAAGGAGGTCAAACTGCACGAAGGCCACCATAGTCAGGATGGGAGATTATGAGCACCTAT